GCAGGAGTGAGGATGACTTGGTCTGTCCATATAAATTCAATGCATTATTTTAATAAAGATAGTTTTTCTGTGTAGTTACTTTCATTTTTCTAAAGTATGTTTTAAGTAATTACTTTTCTATCAGAGATTGATTCAATACTTGCTTTGAAAACTATTATTTATGGGAATGTGTGGAACTGAGCTGGGGCAGGAGGAAGGGCTGACAGGAAAGGAACCTTCCTGGGATGTAACATCTGAAATACTGTGAGCATCTCTTTAGGCGAGGTATTGAGCATCCTTAATTTCTACTGATCTCCGTGCATGTCAAAGCTGGTCAGCACCTCAGAGGATCAAATTCTTTTATATAGCAGATTGTGCCTCTGTTCTTTTCAGGCAGTTTTCCCTCTTTTTTCTTTTCCTTCTGCCCTTCCTTCTTTTTTTTTTTCCTATTCATACAAGGCATAGATTTTTGGTTTAGGGATGCTCAATATTTACATTTTTTTCCATTGTTCCTCATTACAATCAAACAGAACCTTTTCCTCATGCTATGTGACTTATTTTTACTGGTTAAATACTATTGAAGAATTGTTTTGTACTCATCGACTACTATGCATCAGAGACTGATCTGTTGCTGTATTAACTGATTGTGTTACCATGGATCTTTGTATTCCTGCATATTCTGAGAGCTACTACTACAAAGTGAAGCAAGCCTTTCCTTATCATTCCTGTTTTTAAAGCATTGACTCATTGTTTGATCTTGCAGATCTCATTTCATTTCAGCATTCTGAGGTTTAGAGAGGTTGTTTCTAATACAAAGCCTTATTTCCAACCCCCCTACTGTATATATTTTACTCGAACTTTTCATATGTACTCTAAAACTTGAGGAAAATAAGCAAAGTATAGGTGGTGGTGAAATACAATACTTTCATCATGATTTCTTTCCGCAGATGTGCAGCTTCATTCCAATCTATAGAACGCCTATTAAAAGCAATTATTTGATATCACAATTTTTTAAATATATCCAAAGTAAAAATACTTCACTGTGAAAGGGCATTGCTTTTCATTTGCTTCAGCATTAAAGATAGGAAAGAAATATAAGAAATCATCAAGCTGATCAAAACCAGCATCCAATAACTGAACCAGTATTTAAATGCTAGCAAAAGAATCCTTCAGAGCAATTAGTATTTTTTTTAAACTGTACACTTCCCTCTAAACAGAGAACCTGGCAAAAAAACCCCACCAGTGCCAAAAAATAAAAAAAAAATCTCTTCTCAGCATAAAACCTCAGGGCCCTCATACCTGTAGAAGTGGATTGCACCGTTTTCCTCATCCATTCATAAGAGCTGTGCCTTTGGCTGTTGGGAGAGATTTGCTGTGTATTAATTGTTTCTACAGGAGGTAACCCCCCAGATCCAGCAGGATGGAGGGAGCTGTAATCAGCAGAACTGTAGGAGACCTGTCCAGGAGACGAGCCATTGATTTGTGCAGCAGCAACCGTGCTGGACGGTCCTGGGCCGTAAGCGTTCCAGTCCTCCCGCTGTGGGCCATAGTGAGATCCCCAGGTTCCCGCAGGCTGTCCATGGGTGTCCAGAGTTGGCACATGATGATATCCCATGTAGTCTGAATAGGGTGGAGCAGACACAAAGTTTTGCACTGGCAGGTTGTTGCTGTTGCACCTTGCAGATCCTGGATACATGCTGGTCTCTTTATCCAAAAGATAACTCACATACATGATGCTCACAGCCTGGCTTTGTCTTGCTGGGACATCCTGCTCCTCACAGTGTTTGTTTGATCTCTCTTCCCCTCCTCTTTCTTTCTCTCTCTTTTCTAGCCCTGACTGGCTCTATAAATGACTCATGCTAGCCCTGATGTCCCCTTACTACACATGATTAACAATGGTTTTACCAGGTGCTGGTGGTAACAGTTTACTAAGGTCCTGCCTGATGTCACAGATAACTGCCTGCCCCAAAATTACATTTGCATTCAAATGAAGGGCTGACCATGCAGGCAACCCCACCTTGCTGCTAGTTCTAGTGCTTCCTTTCTCACAGATCCTTTATATATTACCATCCCGGTTCTATACTTTTTGAATGTAGTTTGAAATCTCGTGGTCTTCAAGCAGAGTTGCATACATAGTTAACCAATAACTGTTCAGAAAGTAGAAACAGTATTTATCTTGAGCAATTCATGTCAGAATCTAACTTCAGGCACTAGTTTATAGTTAGTTAAAGCCTGGCATCTGCTAGTCCGCTAGTTCTTTTGTTAGAATGTGTGCTACGTTTTTTTGTTTTTTAAACTGAAACCGAAGGACCAGTTCAGTCTTTAACTGCAGCTCTTACCTAGTTTCTCACATGAGCACACTTCTTGACTTCAGCTCTTGGTCTATGTGGGAGAGCACTTAGAAACCACAGTAATCCTACTGATTTTAACATTACAAAGGATATACAAGAAGTCTCGTAGTCATTTTGAGCATTTGTTCATACGAATAGTCTTGTTGATGTTAGCAAGCCTATTCATGAGCTGGCTGCTTGCCACAGTGATTGAAGTTTCTCTATTCTAACTTACAATGTTAACAGAAAGAGAATCTGTTATTGAGAGAATGCAAAATTTGTCACTTTCCCTATGCTTATGTCCTGTTTGTGATATTGAAATGAGTGGTAGTTTTCCCTCAAGGTTTTTCTGTTCTCATTGCTGTGCTTGTTCACAATAAGTAACACCTTTTCTTAGAAATACAGGAACAAATTCTAGCTTTTTTAGCTCCAAAAATTGGTTTCCTAACTTTTGGGAGCAATCCTATGTTTGTAAGTAACAAATTCCTTTAAGATTATCTGTAACCAGGAGTGAGGAGAGAAAGTGTTGATTTTATTTTTTTTTTTAATGAGATAGATACCTTAGCATTGTCTCTTAATGAGAATTTACTCTGTTTTCATTCCTGTTCCTTTAACGATGTGATACTTAATTGCACCTTTATTAATGAACCAACTTGTTAAAAGGATTTTTTTCTTAAACAGGTGCAAAGTGTAATGAGTTTTTTCTTTGTTCAGAAGTGTATTTTTTCTTTGAGAGTCTTTTGCACTTTAACACCATTTAAACTTACAGGTTCCTTCTGGTTCTTAGGAGGAAAGAATTACTTTGCACACCTGGCAACACCGCTATTCCCTTTTCTGAGAGAATGGTGTCCTTAGGCTGTATTCACAAGATGGTTTGTAGCTGTAGATGTGGAAAAACCTTTTTTGACTGCTAATTTCAGGGGTATGTGGAGAAGCACAGCCTACCTTCTCTGAGTATTTAAGATTTGCCTACTGTGCACGTTGGTAAAACTTGCGCTCTTTTACATCTTGTTTCTTGTGAGTTTTTGGAGGATGATGTTTTGCTGGCATAATTGTTGAAAGGTATTTTAAAAATCATTAGGTGGGGGAAGTTGGCAGAAACTGTTTCTTCTGCTTGTGCATGTGAGTTAATTCAGTTGCAATTTACACATCTGTGACAGCTGGCCATTCAAAATGACCAAGTATAGCTGCTGGTACAGACTCCACAGATCTAGGGAAGTCAATAATGAGTACATCATGTATCTGAACAGCTTCATTCTCCTATATCAGCAAAATAAATCATATTTGTTTAGTTACGAATTAGGTGCCTCTGGACAGTCTGTGTCTGTAGTTACCGGTGCAATGGGGTTTAAATGTAACATGAGCTGTATATGCTTTTTTGTGTGTGTTTTTTTTTTTTTAAACTAGAGTGTTTCACTCCCTTTCTCAATCATTTAGAGCAGTGTCGATGCTTGGTAGCTCGCAAGTTCAGACTGTATTGAAATAGCTACAAAGCAAGATTCTTTATGGCTTTTTGTTGTACCTTGATTTCAATTTCCTTTCCTCCTCTTCAAAACTGTTGAAGACTCATCCTTTTAAGCATTTCTATACCTCTCCTGAATGCAGGTGTACCAATAAATCAGCCAGAGGAAGAAGCAGCATTTGCTCATTTACGGTAGCATTAGTTGTAGCCCTCCAGCTGTCTGGAAAATGTTCTAATTATGTTCATTCGGCAAAACTTTTTCTGCAGGCCCTAGCTACCTAATATACTGACAGCACAAGGCACTGCAGAAGGGCTGGGTCTCACTGCGTAGTCTGGATGTTGATCTGCCCTTCCTCGGTGTTCCGGGATGTTGGATACGCCAGGCTATAGCCATGCATTCAGTCTCTGTCCCAGTGCAGCATTGAGGAACATTTTGATCCATTTTTTTGTAATGGTATAATTTGGTTCATGAAACTACTGAAAGTAGTAAAAGAGCGTTTATTCATGTTTATTTGAAAATAATAGTAATTATGACATAAAAATACCCTTTGATGCTTTCAATTAATATGTGTATATATTGACATGGAAGGAGACTGTTTTCCTTGTTCCATACTGCTTAAAGAAAGTACTTTGCAATATATGATTGTTAGATTGACAATACTTTACCCCTCTGGCCACATGCCGTGACCACTAAAGCAGGAAACTGCTTCCTTTGGATTCCCAAGTACCCTAAGTTGGTCTGATTTCAGCAGCTGTATTTTGGTTTCGGTTAGTCCAAGGTTTTTTTTTTAATTTATATCATTTAAATCTAACCTATTAGTTGAACCGCAGTCTTTTAACTGCTGGAGGTATGTGAATAATCACATGCTGATACAGTTCATTTAAAACTAAATGTTTTCATAGGTTCTCAAACACAAAGTATAAAGGGATTTGGACTTGAGTTGCTTTTCATACTTTCTAGCAAGAATATGTGTTAGTATCAGGTGTCATCTTGGGGAGATCAGTCTATATGTATACCCAATCCTTTATAATTATGCCAGTCTTCAGTCAAACCTTTTGGAAAAAAAAATATCAGAAGTTTCTCTAGTCAGTTGTTACATCTGTAAAGTGTTTGTACTCAGTACTATATGTGTACAGTATTTGCAGACACTTATTTTGGTGAATGAAGCTTAAAGTCTGTTACAATGCACTAATGCAATACATTCATGTGTGGAAAAAAAAATCACACAGGCATTCAGTAGGTAGCTAGTGGCACATCTGATTCCTAACATTTTTGTGTACATTGATACTACATGCAGCAGAGTTCAGAATTTGGAACTAAATTGTAGGTTTTAAGATGAGAGCTGTGTTGGTTCAGGATTTTAGTCCATTTTAAAGAAAATTGCCAATATATTTTGAATTCTGAACTCTTCTTCTCCAGCTTGGTGAAATTTAGAACTCACATTTTACTAATGTTATTTTGCTAATAAACCTGCACGAACTATTCTCAATTTCATTTTGCTGTTCTGAATAAAGCTCTCTACAAAAATTTTGGTTTAGTGCTCTGTGCTTTGTTGTGCAGGAATGATAGTGGCTGAGTAGAAGAGAGGTCCCTCCAGAGCAAATGCAGGAATCTGTCTCTTTCCCAAGTATGTTTTCCCTGTAACTATATTTTGAAGGATATAGTAATCTCAGCCTTTGCTACCCTTCTCATCTTTGCTTGACTGTAATGTAGCAAAGACAAAGGGTAGATTCTGAAGAGCTGACTTGAGTGACAACTGCCCTTGTATGATGTATTTGCAGTTTCGCTGGCTAGAGGGGTACTGGAAGCCTTGCACATTAGAAATGACATTGCCTTGTCTTTGATTTTTATGAGCAAATATTACAGAGCAGATAATAGGTCTGTTTTACAAAGGCTGAACAAAAAGCAATAAATAGCATCCAAATTCATAACATAAATTTTATTAAGCATAGACAGTCTGTCATCATTCTTTTGTGAGTAGCAGCATTAAGGCTAAAAAGGCAATTCAAGTGGAATTAATTGCCTTGTAAAATATTATTCTGCCTTCTTAATAGCATCTATTATGTGATAATAAATCCCAACCATTATCAATATGAGATGAGATTTCTCCAAGTTGATTTGTGAAGAGACCAAATCCAAAATATTGTAGATTTAACAAATACAGCGACAATTCTGCATTCTGGGCTCATGTTGAGAAGCCAGAAGATGAATGGAAATGAGAAGTTGTCCTGAATTCTCAAGAGAGGAAAGAACTTTCTGGTTTTAAGATGAGCCTAAAACACCTTCACCCTGTGGCCTGAGATAGGAGCTATTCAAATTTAGAACTGGAAAAATCTATGTTCTGATCCTTCTATGTTCCTATCCTCCTATGTTCCTTCTGTTAGGAAGTAGCGTCCACCATAGATACTGGTTGGGAAAATATCTCTTAAGGTGGTTTTATCATTTAAGATGAGCCTAAAACACCTTCACCCTGTGGCCTGAGATAGGAGCTATTCAAATTTAGAACTGGAAAAATCTATATTCTGAGGTTAGGAAGTAGCGTCCACCACAGATACTGGTTGGGAAAATATCTCTTAAGGTAGTTTTATCAGATACCATGGATGATGATGTGATGGATGCGTCAGAGACTGGGCAGGAACATTGGAATGCTCCAGTCCACTTTGATTGTTCCTATTCTGTGATGTGAATGGGTCTCCAGGGCTTTCCTTTGGCATGTCATAGAGCTAAGATCTGCTAAGATTGTATCCTAAGCTTTCCATGCTGATCTGTCTCAGATTGTAACCACATCACTGTCCCGAGATACAGGTCTTCTCGTACACATCTCTCTCCTTGTCTACAGTCTTACAGAACTGTAGGAGCTTCCTTTAATTTTTCTGAGCTTTCATTTTTTTCCCCTCTAAGAGTAGCAGCACTCATTTTTGGAGGCATGTTTCGTTCCAGTTGCAACACTGATCCTGTACTCCTGTGAAGCAATGGGGACAGCTAGTGGTCAGCTGGCTGAATGGCAAGGAGATATTTCAAATGAATTTTTCAGTGGCTAGGAACTTACTCAGATTTCAAAGTCCTCAGTCTGTTCTATCCTATAGG